AGTCTGAGCAGTGGGTTTTTGTTAAGTGCTAGTTTTAATTTAAGTGACGTGTTACCAATACATAGCCAACCGCATTTCTCTGTGTTGAGCTCTAGCCCCCAGCGTTTGCACCAGTCGTCTACTTTGTTGAGTTCATGTTGGATCGTTTGCATAGTACTTCGTACATCACCAATGTCAGTTTTATAGATGACTTTTAAGTCATCAGCGTAAAGGTAGGTCTTACCTGTAGTAAAGCACTTGCATATATTGTTGATATAAATTATAAAGAGCAATGGGCCCAAGACACTACCCTGCACAACACCACTGGTTATTGGTCGAGGTGTAGATGTTGTAGAGTTAAGCTTGGTTAATAGGAATTATAATGCCTATGTGAAACAAGGAAGTGAATGGACACTTGGGCTCTATTGTTTTGAAATATGATTAGTTATTTGAGGTCAACTTTTCACCAACCAACTTAAGCTGTTACATTAACTTCCTCCTAGAAAATTATGAAGAGTAAGAGGATCGAATGCCTTTTATGTCAGCTACCGTTTGGAAGCTTGGTGTAGATATGCCCGTTATAATGAGGCTCAAGTCACTCACGTAACGGATTAGTCTACACCTTACAAGTGTGAAAGTTCTATTAAACACGAGTATTGTGAATAAATAATCAGTGTAAAGAAATACCATAGGCCGGTGTGGTCTGCTGGTTAACCTTGTGATGTAGCATTCAGGAGGGCAGAGGTTCGAGTGAGTTTGGGTTGGCGTTTTCCTCTACAAAACGCACATGAATACGATGCTCGCCGACTGCAAGTCGCTCAGACATGAGGAAATATAACAATAAAGGTATAAATTGGTATGCCAAAGTGCCTTTGCAAGTCATATTACAACACCTTGTTAGCTGCCTAAAATATGAATAGTACAAGTATTTTCTGTTCATATTAATAATAATCGAATAGAAAAGCCACATATGTGGTAGGTTTACTCTTTACGTCAAGCAAAGCAAAATGCATGGCCTATTTATATGACATATAACCTTTTTTCATAACACTAGTGGTAAGTTCCAGAATTTCATATGGACCACTGACAATAATTTGTCAAACACGAGCGTAGTCATGAGATTCATATCGTAAACTCGATGTTCTGATCACCTAACGGATCGCTTATATAATGAGTGTGAAATAAGTTATGCGAAACCAATATTGCTACCGTACATCTTCACTTAATTGAGCGTTCATAAATTGATGAAGTGCAAACTATGAGAGCATAGGTTTAGCCAAGCGGAGTATAACTCCCAATATATATATATATAGTTATATGGAAAATATATATGTCTACAGGAGGCTAGGAAAGATTGCATTCTAAATTGATTTGACGACAAATAACAAATGAGGTGACGTACTAATCAAGGGGTAAGGAAGTAAATAATTTATGGTTCAGATAATAGTCCAATTGACAGATATGAAGAAAAGTGACAAACACAAAGGTCATAATAATAATCTGAGTAATAATCAAGAAAACTTGCATAAGGTAATAATAATAACTGACTAGAGTTTAAATGTAAAATAATAATTTAAAAAAACAAAAAACCGATAATAATAATAATAATAATAAAATGGAAGTGCAGAAAGAAGACCAAAAACGTACCCAATGAGGGAATTAGGGCCAAGGAAGGGTGAGAGGTTGGACAAATCGTTTCTGCACGCAAAGTTCAGGCTTGAATTCATTGGTCGCCAATGCCTCAGCAGTGCATATGAACTGATGCAATGATTTCGTCGAAAAGAAAATTTTCTTCGATGAATTCTCTTTTTCTTATTCAGTGACATTATGAGTTATTTTAGTTGTCTCGAAATTTATTGTAGACTGTTTTATCACGTTCATTTCCAATCAAGATAACGAATTTGGTTCTTGATTGTCTTGACCTTTGACGTTTCGGATATCGTTTGTGAACTGTGGTATATAGTGAATGTGTCGGACTTCTCGAGTTGAGTATTTGTTGACTTCCGCTTTTAGTGCATTAGTCATTGGTTTGTGATCTGTAAAACTATGAGGTCTTTGCCTCCTAATATGTTTCGAAAATGCGTAATGGTTAGGTAGATTCCAAGAAGTTATCGTCCGAAAGTAGGATACATTGTCTCTGCTTTAGCGAGTTTTGTATAGAAGGCAATTGCTTTGCAGGCGTTTTTAACTAGTTGGTTAAGGAACTCTCTGCTGTTTTGTCCGAAGCATCTATCATCAAAGCAAGTGGGGAAAAAGAATTAGGATACATCAACTAAAATGCTTGAGACTGTTTACCCTTCAGCTGTTTAATAGCTTAAACAGCCTCAGAAGCCAGTCTGAGGGGGGTTTTAGTGGAAATTTTAGTAATTTTACAATTAAGATCATGAGTCAAATGAAGCTAGAACACCGTTGAAAACCTGGAATCACTGGAAGGCCGTTTCTTTCTATTGTGGGACTTCTCAACAGTGCGCATCCACGACCCCGCCTCGCGGGATTCAAACCCAGGACCTACCAGTCTCACACCAGAGCACTTAAGATGTTTGTTAATAATAATCATAAGTGCAAGTTATTCTGAAGTCCATTAAAATCGTTTTCTGTTGCTAATCAATGTCCTTTTGAGAACAGAAATAAATTTGTTGTCTTGTAGAAACCTTTCGTGCTTTTGATGCCTGGTTGAACGTTCTCAGCAAGGGTTGTGTTCGGATATTCGCTAAGCAGTAACTTCCGCTATTCCTTCTAGTCTGTAAGAATCAAAACAGTTTATGATAATTGTTCATAATGTTTTCAGTCTTCAGCAATAAGGATAGTAGGCTGATGAACCTGTGTTAATTCTGACAGGTTGCCTTTTAGTGAAGGCCCAGCTTCTTCTTGAAAATGTTTACTGATGGTGCTGATACCACTTGTTCGGTAAGGCGTTCTAGTCATTGACCAACAGATGAGAAAAATGGGACTACACGTCAAGTCCATCAGATCGTGTTTTGTGAACCTTATTGCTATGACCTTGGAGATTATCAGTGCTGCAGGGAGCAAAAAGATAAGACATATTAACACACAAATCATAATTGAAGATACGAAATCCCAGTATTAGATCACTTCGTGTCCTACAAAAGACAAGGGGAAAAGGTTTAGGCTTTTCAAGCGCTCTTCGCTAATTTTGTCTCCACACGCTAGACACATTCAAGTGAGTCAGTATCCTTTGTCAGACATGGGCAAGCTACTTGGATACAGTACTCTAAGTGTAGTCTTACGTAGGTAGGATATAAAATTCGAGACATCTCGCCAAGGCATTTAAATGCACGACGAAGTGACCATAATGCACGGTAACTTTGGGATGCAGCTGTGATGAAGTGCGAAGTTGTTTTCAAGCCATGACTTATTATTACTCTTAAGTCTTTATGTTCTTGAACGCGTGGAAGAGATGTATCATCAATGGTATAATGGTAACTATTACCGTACCCGATGTGCATGAGCACTCTCTTCCTGGAATTAACTTCTCAACCCCAACCACAAGCCCATCCACTTAATTCGTCTAAATCGGCCTGGAGATGAAAACAATCAGCCTCACTTCTTATTGTCCTCTAAATTTTGACATCATCCGCAAACAATAATGTCGACGACTTACGCAATAGCGGTAGTTCATTAACATAGAAAAAGAAAAGGAGAGGACCCAAGGTGGTGCCTTGGGGTACACCACTTTTGACTGGTCTCCATTCGGATAGAGTTCCATTAACTCTCACTTTCTGTCTGCGGTCACGTAAGAAGTTTCCTATCCATTCCTGTACAACACCTGTTGTTCCGGAGCTCGAGAGCTTCTGCAAAAGACCTACGCGTGAAGCCTTGTCAAACGCTTTGCTAAAATCTATGAATACCACAGACAGGCCGTTATCTTGGACTACTGTCTAATCCTCTCTTGCAACAAGTAAGTTAGTCAAGCATGAACGCTTGTTACGAAACCCAGGTTACTCGGAAGTTAATAGATTGCACAAAACGATGTTACTTAGTAACTTAACCCGGACTATCTTTCCAAGTAACTTAATGATTATGCTGATTAGGCTGATAGGCCGGTAGTTGGATACGATCCGTCTCTGATCATCCTTAAACATAGGGCGTCTTTCCAATCTCTAGGGAGTTGAGAGAGTGAAAGGGACTTGTTGAAGAGAGTTGCGAGTGATCTTGAAATAATATCAGCAAGCGATGACAGCAAATGTGGATGTTACCCATCGGGGTCCGGTATCTTACAAGGTTTGAGGTTAGCTAGCAATTGAAGAACAGTTTCCTCAGTCACATGTACAGATCCTATGTCTGGTATCTTAGTGTGATGGGGACAAGTATTTGTAACACTACACGTAGGGTGGACTTCACAAAAATAGTTTGAAAATGTCTTAGCTTTTACTTGATCTGATTCAGCTAGTAAATACGAGTTGACATATATTCCGAATTTTTCATATACACACTTAAATGATGCCTGTCCCGTTGACAAGAATAAGTCCCAGAAGTTTTCCCTACTCCTCAACAACTTCCGGGTTCCCTTACTAATCCATGGAGGGCAATGTGATAGCTTGCGTGTTGACCATGGGATAAACGGTTGTGTTGCGAACTCGAATGTAGCATCAAACTTGTTCCATTCATCTTCGATCGATCCATCAGCATCAGCCGACTGGTCAATCTGGATAGCACAGTCTCTGATGGCCAGAATATTAGCTCTCCAGATATTGTGACGAGGTGGAGCAGATGCAAATTGTACACTATGTGTCCGGAACCTAAAAAAAGTAAAACGCGACGTGTATCTCGAAAATCATACTAATAACGATATTTCCTTGAGATTCTGGAAGAATAGTTGGTGAGACTATAATCTATGGACGACCATAGAGTGACATCGTGAGTGTCCACATTATCCGAGATCTATTACCTTATACCTGATTAGTTCGTTCATGAGTTATAGTCTCGCCGAGTACTTCAAACACAGGTAATAAAAAACGAGTAATTCTTTTTTTCTTCATTATAAATTGAGGTTTGAAGGCTCTAAACATTGTACAGTGACCTTGGGCTGCCTTAAGTTGATGCTTGCATAAGTGTCCGTTTAAGGTATTTCCCTATCCCGCCCAGGTACATAAAGCTTAAGTTTTATGCAAAAACGATACTATTTTACTAAGTGTCCATATTATTATAACCTATTTTAAATTTGCTTTTATCATATATCATTCGTTGTCCTTGAAATAAAGTGTTTAAACATCTGCATGAATTCCTGCATAGTACCCCTATATTTGGGGATTTAGTTGTAGATTGGCAGGAAGTCTGCGTAGTGATTAGATTGAGTCATAGTACACAAAGTAAAAGGTAGAAGACAATGTAGGTATTCAAACTCGACAAAATCGGAATTTAAAATGTCACTCGTTAGTCAAACTTGAGACGATTAAGCATATATATAGACGTTAGGTGACATAGAGTAATATCACTTTTACTGGTGCAGTTCCATTCATTTTCTGGCTTCCTCTAAATTTCTAGGTAACTGTCATCCTGATACGTCCATGCGCGAAGCTACTATTTAACAACTCCAAGATGTTAAATGAAACTACTATCCTCTTCTGCCTAGCTCTGACAAATAGAGCACATAGTTTCGTAATAGTAGCTTTGTTGATGATGGCCTAAGTATATTTATTTGTTTATTTGAACACAAACATTAGTTCAAGGGTCACCAAATATGTATGCTCGACACCACAATGAGGTTGTGAAGATAGAAAATGTTATGCGCATATAATAAGGGAATAACAACGAACAAAAGTTAGTGTATGAGTGAAATATTTATTATTATAATAAGAATAGTGATGGGAGAAACAGTTCATTTGGAAAAAATATAACCGGGACGAATTTTAATTAAAAAAGTTAAGTTTACTTTTATGAAGAAAATAGGAGAACTCTACAACAGGATCGACACTAGCTTCTGTTCTAGGCCATGTCTGATAACGTCTGTAACCACTGTGTCTCACCATCTCTAAGACCCTTACCAGGGAGTCGTGAAGGACCAACAGAAGTCAGCTCTGTATATTTTTCTTTCATGCAACGACATCATGTCATATCTTGAACACCTCTCCTTTTTTAACCGGTCTCAGAGTCGGCGAATAGTGCACAGTGTGACAACATCCGTAGAACATGTCCAAGCCACCGAAGTCGATGTTTCAAGATAGTAACATTAATTGAATTATAGTCTCTGTCCCCGAACACACGATGCTGAACCTCTGCCTTACTAACATAGTGTTGCTACTGGATGTCAGCGATTCTTCGGGGATAACAATAATCAAACACAGAGCCGTCTAACATTTTCAACTCGGAGAGGTCAGGTTTCACAAGCATAGAGCAAAAGTGCTCTCACCGACGTGTTGTAGATCCGACCTTTTACAGCCAGACTAATATCACGAAGGCGCCAAAGATGGCTCAGATTGGCATAAGCCGCTCTGGCTTTCACTATACATGCATCGATCTTATCGCTCACGCTACCACCAGCACTTATGCCACTACCTAGATACACGAACTTCTCAACTACTTCAATCTGCTCACCACCCAGGGTGGGTACAGGATTAGAATCCTGCCAGTCTTGTAGGAGTACTTTGCACTTGGAGGGTGCAAAACACATACCATACCTACGGACACTAATTGCCAACTGATTAAGTGTGGATTGCATGGCTCGGCAATTATCGCACAGTAAGACAATATCATCTGCATATTCAAGGTCGAGAAGTCTTTCTCCAGGCAACAGATCCACACCGCCATTACTTACATCCATCAGAGCTGTTTCCAGAATGTCATCGATGGCAAAGTTGAAGAGGAGTGGTGAGATTGGGCAACCCTGCCCAACCCCACTGCTTGGATGGAACAATCGAGAGTAGTGGTTGTATGGCCTCACTTTGCCTGGGGTGTTTCTATATTGGGCCTTTAAGATGTTAATGAACTTCTCAGGCACACCCTTCTTCAATAGACAATCCCAGTGAATAGTCCTATCCAACGAATCGAAGCAGCCGTGATGTCAAAAAACACTGATTGTTGGCTCGTGATATGTATGATGGTGTTCTAACACTTGGCAGAGGGTGATTTTATGTATTTCATTTAAACATAAACATTGGTACAAGGAGGAACCAAATAGATATGGGCCACACTTCGTCATCCGATTTGTGTGAGGGCTGTGATACTGCCCGGGTGCCGAAACAGAAGCAGGTGGTTTTCTTCGGAATCCACACCCTGAGACTCTGATCTAAAGGTCTAATCCACAAGGCAGTGGAGCATCGTAAGGCGATGCAGTCCAATGGTAGTCGGTGACCAACGATTGATTCATACGCCATTTGTTTCCTTAGGATCTTGGAGCCCATGTGCACCATTGGTTTGGAATTAGTGTTTTCCAACTCCCCTAGGTGGACCCTCCGTATCCACCAACCCGGTTAAAGCGCCGGAGATTCACTTTTCGTCCTCTGAATTTCGTAAACAACACCCCTGCCGCGAGAAGGCAGTGAGTAGGATTTCCCTGGCAGTGGTTGGATACGCGTGGCCATGTGAGAGCATTTCGAGAGGAAGAGCTGACTCTTCCAACTCTTGGCTGTACCAGAGCATTTGGGGTCGATGGCCCTAGTGGCGTTTGAAATACATATAAGATCACCGGTTATGCATAGAATACCATGATTACAGTTTAGAAAGGAAGTAATTGTCAATGAACAGAAATCGTAGTGAAAAAGGAATCGGAAGTCTGTGAGTAGAATTCACACTGAATAAATTAAGTTGGCGAAAATTCATCTTAAATAGATATTGATTTCCTTCCTTAGTTGTATTTGGGGATCGTCACATCCATAGCTTTTCGGTCGTTCATCTCATCTGTCCTGTTTGAACAACACTGCTCATGTTTAAATTTTCACTCTAGTTGATAGTATTCCCTCTTCTTCACTTTTCATCCTATTAATTTGCTCCTTGTGGTGATGAAGTGAGGTTTAGCGAGTTATATCATTCGTGTCACATCCGATTTTTACTGACACTAAAGAACGGTTGAATTAGCTTTTGACTTCTATCTAGTCGCTCATCGATATGTTCCCTTGACTGTCAGTATGGTGAGACTTAAACGTAAATGCTCTAATTGTTGCTTTTAGTATCTGTTGTTTCTACGCGACATTATAATCACACTGAACACTCATAATAAAGAGAAAAGAAACCATGTTTTATAAAAATTTGATTGTTTCCAAAAATGGGAAATTTATGTTGAAAATATCTTGTATATGTGGTTTATAACCTTGGGAAAGTAGGGATTTAACATATTGAAAGGTTAATTAGGCATTTAGAGAATAGCTAGTGTAAGTATTTTAAGCCAGCGCGTACTTTTTCATGAAGCTTGCGAATGTTAAGTGCAAAACATAAAAGTGGGTATTTTGTAGCTTCTCTAATGCCTGTTACTTACCAACACTGGATCGATAATCGACATTGGGTAGATAATCAAAGTACTCATTGATTCAGATCATACTAGAAACAATCACTATTAAATTTTAGTTTTTTGTCTCATCATATTGTTTAAAAAATATTGTTACTTAAAATCACAGTCAGATAAAAAATTTCAGCTTACATAAGGATCGTATGAACTCTAAATTTATTCTGGTAATCTAATGGTTGTCATAAGCTTTGCTTGTTTTATCACTTTCCGTTTTGTCCTTCTTTGATACATACGAATTTCTATGTACTTTTATGATTACTCTTTGTTTGTTTTCAGAATGAATAATCGAGGAATCCCTATGTTACCTCGTAGATGGTTGAAATGTCCGCGTATGGGAGATATGATATTAGATATATTCATTCCATTCAAAACACCATTAGACAATAAGTTTAATCATTTCATCGATCCGGAAGATGTATTTCACGTAGATGATGCATTCAAAACAGCGGAACCGGTAAAGCTCTCTGATTAAACAAATGTTTATTTTTTCAGTACAAACTCGGTCTGATTATCGACTTAACAAAATCTCGTAGATTTTATAATCGACGCGAAGTAACGGAACAGGATTGTAAATATTTGAAAATAGAATGTAAAGGAAATGAGGAACGACCAACACCAGAACAAGTGAATCTTTTTATTCAAATTGTCAATCAATTTCTCGACAACAATACTGGAAATCAGAAAATAGGTATGCATGATTTTTATGAATGACACTGATATTTTTTAAGGAGTTCATTGCACTCACGGATTCAACAGAACGGGATTTATGATTATTGCTTATCTCGTTGAAGAGTTGAACTATGGGTATGTTTGGTTAGTCCTTTCCGTTATTGAACCGCTTTAGCGTAGATATAGCGGTTCAGATATTTTCAGATGCTAGGCCTCCTGGAATTTACAAAGCAGATTACTTAGAAGATCTCTTCACACGTTATGGGTGTATCGAAGATTGCCCACAAGCCCCTTCGCTCCCTGATTGGTGTACAGGTATAACACAGTTGTTGCAATGCTAATGGGTTTTCAATACATTACAAAATTTAACATCAGGGTTATGTTCTACTTACAAATCGATAAATAATCTCTTGGAGATAGGTTTCGTAAACTAACGACAAGGTGTAGTAGAAATGGATTTTAGAATTTTTAGTGACTTTTATCGGCCCCTAATCTTCAATATTCTGTTAAAGATTATAAAACCTTTACAATCTTATAAGTGGTTTCCTAAATATTTATTTTTATTTAAACATAAACATTGGTACAAGGAGGAACCAAATAGATATGGGCCACACTTCGTCATCCGATTTGTGTGAGGGCTGTGATACTGCCCGGGTGCCGAAACAGAAGCAGGTGGTTTTCTTCGGAATCCACACCCTGAGACTCTGATCTAAAGGTCTAATCCACAAGGCAGTGGAGCATCGTAAGGCGATGCAGTCCAATGGTAGTCGGTGACCAACGATTGATTCATACGCCATTTGTTTCCTTAGGATCTTGGAGCCCATGTGCACCATTGGTTTGGAATTAGTGTTTTCCAACTCCCCTAGGTGGACCCTCCGTATCCACCAACCCGGTTAAAGCGCCGGAGATTCACTTTTCGTCCTCTGAATTTCGTAAACAACACCCCTGCCGCGAGAAGGCAGTGAGTAGGATTTCCCTGGCAGTGGTTGGATACGCGTGGCCATGTGAGAGCATTTCGAGAGGAAGAGCTGACTCTTCCAACTCTTGGCTGTACCAGAGCATATTGGGGCTCCGGTTCCCAAATAAGCAAATAACTATTGTCATATAATACTTTGACCTTGGAGTTAAACCTAATAATGCAATAATTGGTGAGCATATATATATATATTCAGTGTTTCGTATTTCTGCTTTCTTTAGAAATATCTTATAGTAACCGATTACTTAAATAAAATATATTTTTATGAACATCCATTGTATATATTTTGTTACTAGTGCATAATATCAGTAAGTTTACGGAGGAAACTTTGTTCATGTATTTCTTTGTAGAATGTTCATAACACTTGTGTATAAACAATATACGATGTATTTTTCGGGAAGAATGAACTGATTGTGTAAAAGTTTCATACAACTTATGAAGTACAACAGAATAAAGTGACTTATTTGTTCAGAAAATAGGAATTAGTTCGACATAGACGGAGAGTTTCCTTAGCTGATTACTCTCGCTTCCTAAAATTTAACGACAAACTTCGGCATTAGTTAATTTATGGTTCTAGCACAATTGATTTTATGAAGACATGTCAGATTCACGGAACTTCCCATACATTATCCTTGTTTGACTACCATATGCCGTAGTTAAAAAATAAGAGCGTGTAGAAATCAAATTAAAGGACCGTCGGTAATAGAATAAACGTTTATTTCACTACAAAAATCGTCATGATGCGTTTTCATCAAATCGATCGAGGTAGTGGCATAGCGAGGCATCGATAAGTCTGGCGAATGGTCGAGATTTGACCTACACAAAGTTTGGAGTCCTGAGCGTTCATCAGTCTTCAAGTAGTCATTACCTCTAAGACTTGCAAGGAATATGTAAAACGGATCTGTCCTGTATACGTAAAAAAACGAGTTGGTAACTGTCGATGCGGAAATAACACGAAAGTTAGATACACAATTTCGTCAACTAGTATAAGAAGCTATCTTAACGAAAACTGATAAAATATTTGGTACATAGCAATGTGTAATTACGTTTGTATGCAATTCCAAAAATGTGAATTTTGTTGAAACTAGTATCTTTTGTTACTTTATATGCTTCTACAAGGTACCGGTAATTATATGAGTAAAAATTTTTGAAATTCATTTGTAGAGGACGAAGAATACAGTTCACATACGCCAGCTAAGAGAAAAAACGAAGAATTGTGTACAAACTTTGATAATCAAGAGACAGTTTCCTCATCAAAAATATCACGCATAAGCGATCATATAGAAGAAAATGCGTCTTTTAGTATTCCTACAAGCAAAAGCTTTCCCCCACCGCCTCCAGGAAATCCAGATTTTATGGAAGGGGTTTCTAAGGTTGATGTTTTGGTTCAGGACAGTCCAGAAGCTCATGAGGCACGCGATTTGTCGGACAGACTATGCAAAATGGGTGGTTATTTATATTTAGAGGGTCAATTGTTTCCTGCAACCGATTCAACATCTGAAAATGAACAAGAACCTGAGAATTTAGAAGCGAATCGCAGCCGAAAGATATCAAAACCATCTAAAAGGCCTTTACGTTTCAAAGGTAGTCAACCAGTCTCCATAACACAACGAAATGTGGCAGCTCTGGTTAACTCTGATTATTGCGTAACGTACAAGGCTGATGGCACTCGTTATCTTATGCTCATAATGGGTCCTGGTCGTGTCTATCTAATAGATCGGGGAAATTTTGTTTATAAGCCAAATGTTTTGCATTTTCCGACGGTATCGTGGATTCGCGAAAATGAAAAACGTGGTCCAAATTCTGGTCGTCCAGACTTCCTAAATGATCCTGATGGTCACTTATTTAATACGCTTTTGGATGGTGAACTTGTACTTTGTCATGACCATTCCAAACCGCCTAACATATCTACATCAGAAGTATCTGGAACACCTAGATTCTTGATCTATGATATAATTACCTTAAACAATAAACCCATTGGTCGGTCTGCATTTTTTGAACGTTATTCTGCAATTGACAAACAAGTTATATGGCCCAGGAATACCGGTGGTCACTTGGGACTAGTTGACTTTAGTACTCAATCTTTTTCGGTCAGGCGAAAAGCATTTCGCGCACTGCAAGATACTGAAGAGGTAAAATTAACCAGTATATTTCTTGTATTTTGATAATAAAATGGACTATATTTAGTCACGACAAACATTTTCGAGTATTAATGTATGAACTGCACTCCTGTAAACAATACTGCTTCGTAGTTCAGTTCAAGTTCAAAGTGAGTCACTTGATTCACAGAAAATAACCACAGCCCCACCTTTCTTTGAAGTAGAATATTGTTATTTACTGGTAGATTTCTAGCTATTTCCTTCATACACACTATTTGAAATCATATGTTAACAACCGATTTTATGTTTCATATGGTTTCAGCTACTCAAACCTGCGTTCTTGCAAAGTTTGGACCACTCAACAGATGGCCTTGTATTTCAGCCTTGTGGTCCTGAAGATTTTTATGTTCTTGGAACTTCCCCACAAACGTTAAAATGGAAACCTCCAAGTATGAACACAATTGACTTCAGATGTAAAGTGGAATATCAACGAAAAGTTGGGTAAGGCTGCAACTTATTCTTCTATTACCATTCGTCCAAGTTCGTTGTTTTTTTCCCGTTATACGTGTTAATGATATGACGTAAGGGATTGATAAGAACATAGAAAAGAATTTGCACATGTAACAAAGACTATTGTTACTTCTAGTAACTTATCTCTCAATAAGCAACAGAAAGATAACTGGTTCGTGACTACAAAGAATTATTATTTAGGAACAATACAAATTTTCGTATACGTTTATAACCAACCTGAAATCATAAAAGAAAAATTGCTGGATGATTATCCCTGATTAGTCTAGCGGCGAAATCAATCAGCAATAAGGTTACTCAAATCACGTGTGAAAAAGAAAATCTGCTTCATCAACTTATAGTCTAAACTATCGGTTTCTCAATTTAGTTACTCTTATAGATGATTTCGCTGCAAAGGCGTTAGCAATTCATCTTTTCAAAACTGAGCAAAAGCTTCACGTCAAGCTGTCGTCATATCATGACTCTACTATCTAATTTTTCTCTTAGTCATTCGGTTACTGATATTTTATCTTAATATTTTTAATTTTTAGTCCTTTGTTATCACCACCTTTATGTTTTGAATTTATTCTTCATCTTTCTCATACTCCTTAAGTGGATAATTAACTCTCACACATTTCTTTTTTACTTCTTGATCGTTAGGTAACCCTATTTCGATCCTTGAAGTTGTGTACTATTTATATTTTACGGCAGACTAAGAACAGTAATAGGTGTCAGTGAGTCAGCAAGCGACACAGACATTTAAAATTCGGACCCCGACTCCCCAACACGCTATTAACCCGTCAATTTAAAAGGACAATTTGTTACTTCAATATATTAACTGGCTGAATATAGTACATCCAAAGTGGGTAACGTCGACTCAATATAGATCTAAATGTTACATATATTATAAAATCTTCGTAATAGTATAAAATGTTTAGATGTGAATATTAAAGTCATGTGCTATTCCACGTAGATAGTCGAGTGTCGTTCTGTTTTTGTAATATTTTACGACCAGTTTGAAACGTACAGCTATTTCCCTATACTTCCTTTTTAAGCGTTTTCCTAAGATGTGAATACATATCACATGCGTGTGGAAAAGTCAGTTTCGTATGTCATTCGCACTCTAATCAATAACCTATTACTTTCCATAACAACCTTGGTGAGTAGTACTAATAGACTAACTTAAAGCCTCCATGCCACCTCTCCACTACTTTGTTCGTTTCCAGAAGGATATCCACAACAGAGGGTGAACCAAACGTATTTTACACCAATAAAAGCGTTATCCCCCCTTTCAATCTTCACCTTCATTAATATGCCCCCTTATTAGTGTGAACCTATTTACATATATCCTTTAGTTTGTACGTGTAAAATGGTAGATGTGGTTCGCGATAACAAGAGGCAAGTTGTTTCTGTGATTATTGTACATTCTGTCAGGTACGTTGGCTCATTGTATGGAAAACATATTACAGAATATACTTTCAGTTGATTGTTGCAATTCGGATTTGGATGCATACTGTTCCATTTTTTTGCCACAGTAGAGGGGCACTTCTAAAGATCACTCCTCAGTACGCATATTTCTATCTATTAAGAGAATTTCACTGACAGTAATTAAATTATTTTTACTTTAAAGCTTAACTTACCAAAAGTTTGAAATTCAATGCACTGCTCTCTTCAGAACATATCTAGGACAAATCGAGATTCCATCCTATCGCTTTAGCAGATTGGATGACCTGTTAACTTGTTATATTACAAATCTAAAATAGAGATGAGGTCTGTCATCTAAAATATTATAAAAAAGTGGTTTGACAGCTCTACATTTTCAAGGTCAACTGCTAAATTAAAATGTATTTGTGAACTTCAGTACATTTATAAGATGCTGTGCATTAAAGTTCAACTAGGTCTTCAGAAAATCAAAGGGAAGATTTGAGTGTCTACTACTTTACATTAAATAAACACATTACTGTGGAAGCAAATAAGACCTACCCTTTATGTTCTTAGCTCTAGTATTCATTTGAATCCCTAACAAACTCTCTAAAACATTAAATAGAAATAATATATTTGTAAAATCTCAGCGAATGAATTCGAAGTAAATCCAACGTTTCGCCTGGCAATCTGGTTCAAGTTTTTTCAAGGAATTATAATCAAACATCAAAATTATAGAATATAAATAGGTACATGGTTCTTCGTTTCATTGTACATTGAATAGTCCATCCAATCAACGTTAAAAATGTCTAAACTAGGTATATGTATTAGTGTGTAAGATATTTGTGATGTGAAATGATAAGTGTTAATATAACATATTGTATATAAACGTAATTGGTGAGAGGAGAAATGTCATTCACACTATATATTGTCTCTTATCGGTGAATTTTTAAAGGAAACATACAATTTGTAATATATGATATGAATCATATATGTCACAGCATGTATAAAATGAAGATAAATAAACAAAATAAAAATGAAATTCGAAGACGATGAATGTAATTTAAAACTGAATATATGTGTTATTTTAATGTTCCAATTAATTGTTTAAACGAATTTCGATAAAACAACTGATCAAAATCATTGAGTGCAATTGTTGTCACTTAGATAATACGAGATAGATAAAACGGAAAGGAGTTCAAGTTTTTATTTATTAATGATTAGCTGTCATGGTACAGCTAATTGTATTCCATTCCTCCTATTGATATTGTTTGGATTAGCCTATATGTATAGGGCTTCAGCTGTATTTCTTTCTTTGTAAGAATTGAATGCTTTTTAAAGGATTCTTGTGCCATCGAAATCAATTGTTTGACCCGATTCTATCGAGTGTAATGCTATCGCTGACTTGTTCTCAAGTTTCCTTACATCATCTGAGGACTTAGGAATGTGTTTCAAGCATTGTTTTTGTTCCGTCACCCTCATGTTCAGTTGCCTTCATGTTTCACCTACATACGTTGCACTACAGTCACTACATCTGATTTCATAGACACAATTCTGTTGTTCTTCTTTGTGGATTGGATCTTTAATTCTTACTAATTTCGATCTTTGAGTATTGTTTGTTCGAAAAACTACTCTAATATTTTGATTATTTAAAATTTTTCTAATGTCTTCTGAAACACCTTTCCGATATAGGATCACCACTGTGTTAACACATTCCTTTTTCTTTAATCCTTTTGTATTATTAATGCCGTTTTTTCTTTCATTCTTAATTATTCTTTTAATAAAATCCTTTGGATAATTGTTCATCATTAGAGTAGATGTAATTAAATTCATTTCCATATCGTTTGGTTCAGTGACAAGTTTTTGAGCTCTTGTGATCTTATTTTTGGCCATTGTCACTTTGGTCGAGTGTGGATGTGCCGACTTAAAATCTAGAAAATTTCTTGAATATGTCGGCTTTCGGAAAATACTAATTATCATAATCTTTCCTTTCAACTAAACAGTCTAGAAAAGGTAGTTTGTGTTCATGAGATTCCAACTCCTTGGTGAACTTGATGTTTCCATCAAAGTTGTTGACATGTTTAAAAAGTTCGTCCAAATGATCTCGTTTTATAATGACAACAGTGTCATCAACAAATCTTAACCATACTTTTGGTGCATGAGAACACGTTGAGAGTGCACTAGTTTCCAATGAATGCATGAATAGGTTGGCAACAATTAGGGAAACCGGTGATCCCATAGCTACACCTTCTGTCTGTCTGCATAAATCTCCTCGGAAACTGAATACAGTTGAATGTAAACATAGATCCAACACTTTAATAATATCCGAGGTAACTAGAGGACAGTGTTGTTTAAGTTCAATGTCAGAATCTAAGAGATTATGTATAAAAGTTTTCTTAATTGGAACATTAGTGAATAATGAGCATATATCAAAACTTGCCATTATTTCATCTTCTTCTATGCGGACATCACAGATAACATCTTTAAAATCATTAGAATTTTTTATTCCGTATTTGATTAAGCTTTCATATGGTTTAAGAATCTTAGCTAGGTATCTAGAAAGATTGTAGGCTGGTGAATTAGTATAATCGACAACAGGTCTCATTGAGACATCTGTTTTATGTATCCTAAGTAGTCCATAAAATCTACATGGTTTGTTGCTTTTTGGATATAGAGAAAACCAATATTGCTAGCAAAAAACGTCGCATTCCTCTTTGATGTATAATAATGTCATACACACCACCTCAGGCTGAATTAATTATAGGGTTGCGTAACAGTTAGAAAGGTATATAATAATAACGCTATTATTTGAGGTATGATAGAGAGCAAATAGAAATATATTAAAGGGCTTGAAGATTAACATTTTGTAACGTTATTAGAATAGTACACTGAGAACTGCACTTATCTTTTTATTACTTTAGTGAAATTCCGGGTTACGTCGGACTTCTCTTTCTTGGTGGTCTTACAGTACCATCTGCCAAGCTGGCACATGTTAGTTCACGTGATAAAGTTTTAGACGGAAAAATTGTAGAATGTGTATGCGTTCCTGGTGTCGGTTGGAAAGTTTTACGTGTGCGCACAGACAAGACAGAGCCTAACTATCACAAGTCAGGAGTCGGTAAGTTTCCACTAGAGTTCTTTTTATTTGATGAATGCTTGAAATCCAGTAAAATACCCACCTAAAGAACAAATCGATTGTATATCAAGATGATTTAAAATAGAAACGGGGTATTCTAGATTAATCAAAACTATAAAAGTTTGTTATTATTATTACTTCAACATAAATATTGGTACAAGGGGGCACCAGATATATATGCGCCGCACAAATCTCATTTGATTTGTGGGTTGTGATACTTCCCGAGTGCCGAAACTGAAGCAAGTAGTTTTCTTAGGGGGCCACACCTGGAGCCTTTGACCTAAAGGTCTGATCGACAAGGCAGTGGAGCATCGTAAGGCGATGCAGTCCCATGGTAGTCGGTGACCAACGATTGATTCATACGCCATTTGTTTCCTTAGGATCTTGGAGCCCATGTGCACCATTGGTTTGGAATCAGTGTTTTCCAACTCCCCTAGGTGGACTCGCCGTGTCCATCAACCCGGTTAAAGCGCCGGACACTCGCTTTTCGTCCTTTGAATTTCTTAAACATTACACCTGCTACGAGAAGGCAGTGAGTAGGACTTCCCTGGTAGTGGCTATATACGCGTGGTCATATAAGAGAATTTCGAGAGGCAGAGCAAACTCTCCCCATCCTAGTCACTTAAGGTCTAGATCCTTATCGACCGACTTGTCATTCATACATTACATCCAACCGTTGCTCATATCATTACTTCCTAGTTGATTACACGATACGTAAACAATGCTTTAGAGACACTTATGACGAAATATTTGCAACTTACTCATTCATTCCACTTCTAACCTATTTACTAAGTATATGCTTCATATACACGGAATTGAGCCATATTATGTGAATGCTAGTGATATTATGTTGTATGCTGCTGATGTCGACAGATACAAGTAGTATGTATCATCAATCGAAGGTTAGTTAACTGCATGTGGTTATTTAAGAATGTTAGTTAACAGTAACCATGTTTTATATTATACACTAGCCATTATCGAAAGTATCATGTATCCTGTAACAGCTGAACAGCTGGTTATGTGTGTTCGACAACGTCAGAACAAGATAAATCCACAACAACAAGCCTCTTCTTCTCGAGAACCTACTGGAACACATCACAAATAATGATCTCATGATCTAGAAACTATAACTACCTAACTTGTAAAAATTGCATGATTATCAGTCTGTTTAGTACAGTATTTTCTTTCTAAATTAAATATGAATATTATTCCTGCAAATATGAAAACAAACTTATGTAAAAAATAATTTGTGTACAAAAACTGTCGTTTCTATCTTGTGATATTTTTTGTCAAGTACATTTTGAAATCTTTGTAATCCTCTATGTTTAATAGGATGAAACAGAATACAGTGGTTGAGGACATCTATATTTTTCATAGCTAGTAATATCATATTGCTGATCTGGGGATGTAAACGCTTGCTTTAGTGGTTCCTGTTGAGGACACTGGATTCACTGAGGCCATTATCAAAGAGGTTACATCCAGACGAATACGATAAGCTCCAACAAGAACAACTGAATCATATGATGCACCCTGAAATAAATCAACCAAAGCAATGGATATAGATTTTATTTAATATATATATTGTGGTTGGTCTAGTAAAATATGCTTTGCCATAATCCTAGTTTGTTTAGAAAGTAAAAGTCAGTCAGCTACAACGTAGGACCAGGCACATATATGCATCGGTCCGAGTTGCCATACCTAGTTAGCACAACAAGATGAACACTGGATTCATAGAAGTAATTTACTGGTGGTAGTAGTATATAAATTATAGGTTGTATATAAGGATATAGTACAGGAAGGAAGAGAGATATGAAACAATTTTAGTCTCAAGGTTTAAGGGAAGATAAAGAGTGTATACATCTACGCCATTGTGATCGATTCTGAGCCATGTCACCTAGAGTCTCCAACCATTGGTTACGATAGTCACGCGGACCCCAACCAGGTAGTCTGCATCTGCCAACATGGCTCAGACTAGAAGTTAGTGACTTCAAACATTGATGCCATGTTTTGGTTTGGCCGCCCCTAACTCTCTTCCAACCGTCCCCAATACTAGTCATCATAGCGCGTCGTGGTAATCGGTGTTCAGGCATACGTAACACATGGCCCAATCATCTCAGTTGATGAAGATTCATCACCTCATCAACTGACTTACCATCATTCCCTAATATCCTGCTTCTAATCCCACTATTACTTACCCGGTGATCCCAGCAGATGCGAGAAATATTTCTAAGGCATCTGTGGTCAAATACTAGTAACCTACGAGTATCTTCTACTCTTAATGGCCATGTTTCACAGCCGTAAAGTAGAACAGAACGAACTGCTGCGCAGTATACTCGTCCCTTAATTGATAGACGGATATCTCGTCTACGCCATAGGAGACGTAAGTTGGCAAAAGCCAAACGAGCTTTTTGAATCCGTGCTGAGATTTCGTCAGACAGCAACCCATTAGGGCTGATCAGACTTCCAAGATAAGTGAAGTTGTCGACGCGTTCGACTACTTCACTCTCTATCCTTAGTTCGGGTGTTGACGCAGGCCAGTCCTGGAGTAACAATTTACATTTGGATGGGGAGAAACGCATCCCAAACATCCTGGCATTATTACTGAGTTCCAACAGAAGACTCTGCATTTTGTCAGCGTCTTCACCAAACAGGACTACGTCATCTGCGTATTCTAAGTCGATAAGTGAATCTCCTGGTAGAAGATCAATTCCTGAAAATTCAGTCGAAGAGAGTGTTATTTCCAGCAACAGGTCTATCATGAAGTTAAATAAAAATGGGGATAGTGGACAGCCTTGTCGGACACCACTTGAGGTTGTAAAATCATAGGACAGTTCACCATAAGCTCTCACTCGACTGGTAGTGTTCGAGTAAAGAGCCTTCACAAGGTTTATGTACTTCTGAGGTACACCTTACAATGACAGACACTGCCACAGAACCTCTCGGTCTACAGAGTCAAATGCTGCTTTTAAGTCAAGAAAAACTATCATTGTCGGACGCCGATAAGCGTGTCTGTGCTCTAAAACTTGACGAATAGTGAATATGTGGTCGATACAGCCACGACCAGGTCTGAAGCCAGCCTGATTTTCTCGTGTTTGCAGTTCACGAGTCATAGTTAGGCGCCTGATAATTATTGAGGCTAGTATTTTAGATACTATGTTAGTCAGACTAATCCCTCTATGGTTATCGCAGGATAATTTTGACCACTTTTTATATATTGGGACAATCAGTGATTGTGACCAGTCGGATGGGATTACATCCGTCTCCCAGATTTTAGCCAGAATATTAGTCAACCTAGTCGCTAAAATTGGACCACCATATTTAAAGACCTCTGGAGCCAATCCATCAGGACCAGCTGCTCTTCCTCGTTTCAGATTACCTATAGCCTTTTGAACTTCAAGTAGGGTCGGGGGGCCTACTTCAATGAATAGTTGCCTGGTGTTGCCTACAGCCGCTGCCTTTTCCATCTCTTTTGCTTTCGTTGCCCACTACTGCTCACGATCGTTCCTTAGACTTTTAGTTAACCTAGATCTAATTTCTTTACGCTCTTCGTCATGTTCAGAGCCTGATGGGATGAGTTTACGCGAATCCATCAGTGAAATAGATTTAGAAGAAATCCATTGGTTTTTTGGATCCCTATGGTTTAAATAACTCCGCCTGTAGCTCATCTAGAGTTACTGCCGGTCCCAAGCCCGGGTAAAGGAGGAGGGTTGGGCATGGGGTTAGCGACCCCATCCTGTAGAAAAGCTAACTCGCTAAAAAAACGCTAACCAGAAAAAATAATCCAAACCATTTAAACTCTGCCCTGGGAGTTGAAGGAATTATGACGTATCATGATGAAAGCCGAAATTCTTCGGAAGTCACGAGACCGATGCACCTTCTAACAACCAGAGCAACACTCTTTATAGGTACATGGAACGTCCGGACAATGTGGGAGACAGGAAAGACCAGCCAAATAGCAATGGAAATGAGGAGATACAACTTGGCAGTACTCGGAATCAGCGAAACCCATTGGACACAAACTGGACAACAAAGGCTAGGTACAGGAGAGATGCTGCTGTACTCCGGTCACGAAGGGGAAAACGCTCAACAGACTCAGGGAGTTGCTCTAATGCTGTCAAGAGAAGCACGAAATGCACTTGTGGGATGGGAATCTCATGGACCCAGGATAATCAAAGCATCATTCAGAACAAAGAAGGAGGGGATCACAATGAACGTTATCCAATGTTATGCACCCACCAATGATAGCAACGACGATGATAAAGATCAGTTCTATGAAAGGCTGCAATCAATTATAGCAAAGTGCTCACGAAAGGACCTCACCATCCTTATGGGAGATCTAAATGCTAAAGTTGGAGTGGACAACACAGGATATGAAGATGTAATGGGACGACATGGACTAGGAGAGAGAAATGAAAATGGGGAGAGACTTGCAAACCTATGTGCTTTCAACAAATTGGTTATAGGCGGCACAATATTCCCACACAAACGCATACACACAGCTACATGGATCTCACCGGACGACACCACAGAGAACCAGATAGATCACATCTGTATCAACAAAAAATTCCGAAGATCAATGGAAGATGTGAGAACCCGGAGAGGAGCTGACATAGCTTCAGATCACCACCTGGTTGTGGCCAAGATGAGACTGAAGCTAAAGAAAGACTGGACAACTGGACAAACAGCACTACAAAGGTTTAATACAGCCTTCCTTCGAGATACTGACAAACTCCATGAATTCAAGATAACTCTCAACAACAGGTTCCAAGCTCTACAGGATCTACTGAAAGAACAAGAAACTACTTTGGAGGACAACTGGAAAGGGATAAAAGAAGCACTAACTTCAACGTGTCAGGAGGTTCTTGGTCCTAAGAACCATCATCACAAGGAATGGATCTCTCTGGGAACCCTGGACAAAATTCAAGAAAGGAAGAACAAGAGACTAGCAATTAACAACAGCCGAACACGAGCAGAGAAAGTCAAAGCACAAGCAGACTACGCAGAAGCAAACAGGGAAGTGAAGAAAAGCATTAAAGCCGACAAGCAGAAATACATGGGAGAACTAGCAACGACGGCGGAAAAAGCTGCAAGAGAAGGGAATATGAAACAACTATATGATACAACGAAGAAATTGGCAGGGAGATATAGCAAACCAGAGAGACCAGTCAAAGACAAAGAAGGAAAGACAATCACTGAGATTCAGGAACAGAGGAAAAGATGGGCAGAATACTTTGAGGAACTGCTGAATAGACCAGCCCCATCGAATCCACCGAACATCGAAGCAGCCCACACAGACCTTCCAATAGATGTCACTCCACGAACGATCGAAGAAGTCAAGATGGCCATCAGACAAATCAAAAGTGGGAAGGCGGCAGGACCTGACAATATACCAGCAGAAGCACTGAAGTCAGACATTGAAATAACTGCAAACATGCTTCACCTTCTATTCAAAAAGATTTGGGAAGAGGAACAAGTGCCAACGGACTGGAAAGAAGGATATCTCATCAAGATACCAAAGAAGGGAGATCTGAGCAAATGTGAGAACTACAGAGGTATCAGTTTGTTATCAGTACCAGGAAAAGTTTTCAACAGAGTGCTGCTGAATCGGATGAAAGACGCAGTAGACGCCCAACTTAGGGATCATCAGGCTGGATTCCGTAAGGATCGGTCGTGCACAGACCAGATTGCGACACTACGGATCATCCTTCTAGTGATTGACTGGATTATGAAGAATTCGACATCTGAAGGGAAATACGGAATACAATGGACTTCTCAGAATCAACTAGATGATTTGGACTTCGCAGATGACCTAGCCCTCCTCTCTCATACACACGACCAAATGCAGATGAAGACAGCAAATGTAGCAGCAGCCTCCGCATCGATAGGCCTCCACATTCACAAAGGAAAAAGCAAGATTCTCAAATGCAACACAGAGAACACCGACCCAATCACACTTGATGGCGAAACTCTGGAAGAGGTGGAAACATTCAAGTACCTGGGGAGCATCGTTGATAAACAAGGAGGATCGGATGCAGATGTAAAGGCAAGGATTGGCAGAGCAAGGGCAGCATTTCTATAATTGCAGAACATATGGAACTCAAAACAACTCTCAACCAATTTCAAGGTCAGAATCTTTAATACGAACGTCAAGACAGTCCTACTGTATGGAGCTACGCCGGGAAATAGAAGCCGATATGAAAAGGATGAATAGCAACTGGAAAGAACTGGAAAAGAGCTCAGGACAGAGTTGGATGGAGAATGCTGGTGAGCGGCCTATGCTCCTCGACGAGGGGTAACAGGCGTAAGTAAGTAATGGTTTAAATGACTAATAGATGTTACTGCCGTTTCCACAGCTGTTCGTATGTCTTTCCAAGCAGTATCTGGGTCAGTCTCGTTTACAGAACTGCCTAGATGTGAACTCAGTTGTTTCTGGAATTCGCATTTGGCTTTCTCGTCCTCCAGTTCAATCCTAATGGGTCTTCTTAGTGTACTTTTCCTGCGTCCATTGAGGCGCAGACAAATGCGCGCTCGTATTAAAGCGTGATCAGAGTCTAAACAAGTATTCCAATACGAGCGACAATCTTCTATTGAGCCTCTCCAACGATGACTGATGACAATATGGTCTATTTGAGTCCATCGTTGGTTTGGTGCAGGTGGTCGCCATGTTAGGCGATGTCTCTCCTTATGTTTAAAATTAGTGCTTGCTAAAAATAAACGATTGTCTGAGCATAGTTGCAACAGACGATCACCATTATCGGTTTGTTGAGTCGGAATACTAAAACACCCACCTAATTGTCTTTCTGTTTGATTTAAGCTGCCTACCTGGGCATTAAAGTCACCCGCTACGACTACTATGTCTGAGCGCTTAGCTTTCTGAAGAAGCTCAGAGAGTTTTCTGTAAAAGTCATCTTTCACTTCATCGTGGCTGCAGTCAGTGGGAGCGTAGGCAGAAACGACGAAAAGGCAACGACGTGTGTCCCTGTCCTTCCGAGTTCTTACGGAGCCATTCAGCCGGACAGCACACAGACGACTGTTAACGGGGATCCATTCTAGTAGTGCTTGTTCTGCCCTCGTACTAAGTGCTATGCCTACACCTGCAAGTCCACGAGAACTATTCATGGGGTCGCCAGATACACGAGGGTGTATTTCGTTGGCTGTCCATTTTGGCGAGGTGAGGTCAAGTGAATGACCACACTGGGATCCTGTATGCGTGTTTCGGAGACACAACATACATCAATGGTACGAGATTCTAGGGTTTTAGCAAAGGAGGCCTGTTGATCGATTTGGCATAGGGTACGTACGTTGAAGGCTCCAATGTGTAGTTTGGAGCGAGGTTTTAGTAGACCTGGGACAGCGTTTCGCGCACTAGAATCGTTGGCCATGGTGACACTTGAGGAGGAAACCGGAACAGGAAGTTTAGTGTTGAAAGTCAAGGTAGAAGGAATAGTAGGAATTGAAGAAGGAGATTGATTATGAATACAGTGGTCTTGAGTGTTGTTAGAGGTATAAGGGCAGTTATCACTTCCCGGTTTCCCACACAGTGTAAGGTTTCTTCCAGAGGTACCTGAAAAGGAAGTTGGGTTAGAAGTGGTCTTAACGACCTGAGAGCGTGACTGCAGTGCCCAAGGGACAACTGCTTGAGGTCGGTCACACACGACCTTTTTGTGGATAGTTTTTGTGCTAGCTCCGTGCTTGTTGGGACCTTACCGCCGGAGACGGATATCCGTGGCACAAAGAACTCGTATTACAGTCGGTTCAATAAGCAGAGATATTTCGCTCGTTTGAATCTTAGTCCAGGCACCACAAATATTACAAGTACTCGCATATCAAGTGGGGCAATAATGTGTTCGATGAGTACTGTTGCTACCACTCGTATGCCTGAAGCTACTAGTCATCAAATGTGAAGATAACGACAAAGAGTGATGATCCGCTTATTTCTATCGCTACTGAACGACTACTAAACGTAATGATGTTTCATTATTTGTGTTTCGACGTTTTTAAGGTTTGGATGCACTGACTTCAGCTTAGTGGTGAATACGTTGCCAAATAGACTGAAAAATGAAGAGGTATATTCATCTGGACAGCTAGTTTTTTTGCATGTCGCTTACTTCACGCTTAAAATCAGCGCGACCATGAAGTATTTGCTATAAGTTACCATGAAATAGGACGCATTAAACTAAAATAGAAACATGTTGAATATCGACACGTCTGAAAAAGTATACCTGAGTTGTTTCACCAATCGATTGGTCTTGGGTTCGTAGCTCTAGGCAGACAGTATTGAGTCCACCACTCCTAATTACTGTAGATACTGAATATACGCAAATACCAGAATACTCAGGTGACAAAGGTATCACGGTACAGTGTTTTTTTGTCCCATTAAAGCTCAACGATAGTGATTCCATGGGAGGTCCAGTGAGCCAGCAAGAAACATGATTGTCCTATTGATAAAACAAAACGTCGAAAGTAAAGCATGCATAGATGTAATCTAATTGGAGCTTTTAGTTAATCAAATAGTTGAATATGGCTATTTTACATTGCGTCACTCGTATGTTCCCATTTTGTGTATTTTATTTTTCAGTTTACGAATTCTTAGCCAGCCTTTCTAGAATCATGTGTATTATTCAGTCTTACCTCCTTTAACGTTCACACTAACGCAAATGAGAAATCAGATAGGTTTGGCTATGTCTTTAGAAAATATTAGCATCAGTGTCTGTTGTTTATATCGAATCCCATATTCAAGACTACACATTTAATCTCCATTTGTCGGTTCAAAAAGCTTGTCTTACGTGCGTTTATCCGAGGACCTTATGGCATCTCCTGTTTTTCTGATATTAGTGTCATACTAAGTGCCAAAGAAAAGGCAGCACTAATCGACTGGATCCCCACTGACAGTCAATTATGTACTGTTAGGTTGGGAAGTTCCATCTAAGTGGTAAGAAATCGAAATAAGAAACAATGTCTTATCCTTATCTCTCCTTGCACCACGACAGATTGTAGTCCAGATGCAATCAAGGATGAGATCTATCATCAGTCAAATGACCTTACGAAAGCGCATTTGTCAAATATTGTAGTTCAGAGGGGGTTTTGTGGAGAATTTAGTATTTTCACAGTTGAAATCATGAGTCAATTGAAGCTAGACCACCATCGAAAACCTGGAAGCACTGGACGGCCGTTTCGTCCTATTATGGGACTCCTCAGCAGTGCGCATCCACGAACCCACTCTCGCGAGCGACATTCGAACCCAGGACCTACCAGTCTCGAGCCGAAGCCCTTAACCGATAGACCACTGAGCTGGCATCCAACGGTGTTCATGTCTAACTTCAACCAATCCACGATATTGAGCGACCGTTCACCAATTGTCTTCAGTGAGATGATATCTCTACAACAGACCTGGTAGAACTCCACTGGCCACTGCTTCCCACTAGAACTCAAGGAAATATCTCTTGAAGTCAGTCACTAGTGAGCATATGATTATAGATCAGAGGGGGTTTTGTGGAGAATTTAGTATTTTCACAGTTGAAATCATGAGTCAATTGAAGCTAGACCACCATCGAAAACCTGGAAGCACTGGACGGCCGTTTCGTCCTATTATGGGACTCCTCAGCAGTGCGCATCCACGAACCCGTTCTCGCGAGCGACATTCGAACCCAGGACCTACCAGTCTCGAGCCGAAGCCCTTAACCGATAGACCACTGAGCTGGCATCCAACGGTGTTAATGTCTAACTTCAACCAATCCACGATATTGAGCGACCGTTCACCAATTGTCTTCAGTGAGATGATATCTCTACAACAGACCTGGTAGAACTCCACTGGCCACTGCTTCCCACTAGAACTCAAGGAAATATCTCTTGAAGTCAGTCACTAGTGAGCATATGATTATAGATCAGAGGGGGTTTTGTGGAGAATTTAGTATTTTCACAGTTGAAATCATGAGTCAATTGAAGCTAGACCACCATCGAAAACCTGGAAGCACTGGACGGCCGTTTCGTCCTATTATGGGACTCCTCAGCAGTGCGCATCCACGAACCCACTCTCGCGAGCGACATTCGAACCCAGGACCTACCAGTCTCGAGCCGAAGCCCTTAACCGATAGACCACTGAGCTGGCATCCAACGGTGTTAATGTCTAACTTCAACCAATCCACGATATTGAGCGACCGTTCACCAATTGTCCTCAGTGAGATGATATCTCTACAACAGACCTGGTAGAACTCCACTGGCCACTGCTTCCCACTAGAACTCAAGGAAATATCTCTTGAAGTCAGTCACTAGTGAGCATATGATTATAGATGAGAGGGGGTTTTGTGGAGAATTTAGTATTTTCACAGTTGAAATCATGAGTCAATTGAAGCTAGACCACCATCGAAAACCTGGAAGCACTGGACGGCCGTTTCGTCCTATTATGGGACTCCTCAGCAGTGCGCATCCACGAACCCGCTCTCGCGAGCGAGATTCGAACCCAGGACCTACCAGTCTCGAGCCGAAGCCCTTAACCGATAGACCACTGAGCTGGCATCCAACGGTGTTAATGTCTAACTTCAACCAATCCACGATATTGAGCGACCGTTCACCAATTGTCCTCAGTGAGATGATATCTCTACAACAGACCTGGTAGAACTCCACTGGCCACTGCTTCCCACTAGAACTCAAGGAAATATCTCTTGAAGTCAGTCACTAGTGAGCATATGATTATAGATGAGAGGGGGTTTTGTGGAGAATTTAGTATTTTCACAGTTGAAATCATGAGTCAATTGAAGCTAGACCACCATCGAAAACCTGGAAGCACTGGACGGCCGTTTCGTCCTATTATGGGACTCCTCAGCAGTGCGCATCCACGAACCCACTCTCGCGAGCGACATTCGAACCCAGGACCTACCAGTCTCGAGCCGAAGCCCTTAACCGATAGACCACTGAGCTGGCATCCAACGGTGTTAATGTCTAACTTCAACCAATCCACGATATTGAGCGACCGTTCACCAATTGTCCTCAGTGAGATGATATCTCTACAACAGACCTGGTAGAACTCCACTGGCCACTGCTTCCCACTAGAACTCAAGGAAATATCTCTTGAAGTCAGTCACTAGTGAGCATATGATTATAGATCAGAGGGGGTTTTGTGGAGAATTTAGTATTTTCACAGTTGAAATCATGAGTCAATTGAAGCTAGACCACCATCGAAAACCTGGAAGCACTGGACGGCCGTTTCGTCCTATTATGGGACTCCTCAGCAGTGCGCATCCACGAACCCGTTCTCGCGAGCGACATTCGAACCCAGGACCTACCAGTCTCGAGCCGAAGCCCTTAACCGATAGACCACTGAGCTGGCATCCAACGGTGTTAATGTCTAACTTCAACCAATCCACGATATTGAGCGACCGTTCACCAATTGTCCTCAGTGAGATGATATCTCTACAACAGACCTGGTAGAACTCCACTGGCCACTGCTTCCCACTAGAACTCAAGGAAATATCTCTTGAAGTCAGTCACTAGTGAGCATATGATTATAGATCAGAGGGGGTTTTGTGGAGAATTTAGTATTTTCACAGTTGAAATCATGAGTCAATTGAAGCTAGACCACCATCGAAAACCTGGAAGCACTGGACGGCCGTTTCGTCCTATTATGGGACTCCTCAGCAGTGCGCATCCACGAACCCACTCTCGCGAGCGACATTCGAACCCAGGACCTACCAGTCTCGAGCCGAAGCCCTTAACCGATAGACCACTGAGCTGGCATCCAACGGTGTTAATGTCTAACTTCAACCAATCCACGATATTGAGCGACCGTTCACCAATTGTCCTCAGTGAGATGATATCTCTACAACAGACCTGGTAGAACTCCACTGGCCACTGCTTCCCACTAGAACTCAAGGAAATATCTCTTGAAGTCAGTCACTAGTGAGCATATGATTATAGATCAGAGGGGGTTTTGTGGAGAATTTAGTATTTTCACAGTTGAAATCATGAGTCAATTGAAGCTAGACCACCATCGAAAACCTGGAAGCACTGGACGGCCGTTTCGTCCTATTATGGGACTCCTCAGCAGTGCGCATCCACGAACCCACTCTCGTGAGCGACATTCGAACCCAGGACCTACCAGTCTCGAGCCGAAGCCCTTAACCGATAGACCACTGAGCTGGCATCCAACGGTGTTAATGTCTAACTTCAACCAATCCACGATATTGAGCGACCGTTCACCAATTGTCCTCAGTGAGATGATATCTCTACAACAGACCTGGTAGAACTCCACTGGCCACTGCTTCCCACTAGAACTCAAGGAAATATCTCTTGAAGTCAGTCACTAGTGAGCATATGATTATAGATGAGAGGGGGTTTTGTGGAGAATTTAGTATTTTCACAGTTGAAATCATGAGTCAATTGAAGCTAGACCACCATCGAAAACCTGGAAGCACTGGACGGCCGTTTCGTCCTATTATGGGACTCCTCAGCAGTGCGCATCCACGAACCCGCTCTCGCGAGCGAGATTCGAACCCAGGACCTACCAGTCTCGAGCCGAAGCCCTTAACCGATAGACCACTGAGCTGGCATCCAACGGTGTTAATGTCTAACTTCAACCAATCCACGATATTGAGCGACCGTTCACCAATTGTCTTCAGTGAGATGATATCTCTACAACAGACCTGGTAGAACTCCACTGGCCACTGCTTCCCACTAGAACTCAAGGAAATATCTCTTGAAGTCAGTCACTAGTGAGCATATGATTATAGATGAGAGGGGGTTTTGTGGAGAATTTAGTATTTTCACAGTTGAAATCATGAGTCAATTGAAGCTAGACCACCATCGAAAACCTGGAAGCACTGGACGGCCGTTTCGTCCTATTATGGGACTCCTCAGCAGTGCGCATCCACGAACCCGCTCTCGCGAGCGACATTCGAACCCAGGACCTACCAGTCTCGAGCCGAAGCCCTTAACCGATAGACCACTGAGCTGGCATCCAACGGTGTTAATGTCTAACTTCAACCAATCCACGATATTGAGCGACCGTTCACCAATTGTCTTCAGTGAGATGATATCTCTACAACAGACCTGGTAGAACTCCACTGGCCACTGCTTCCCACTAGAACTCAAGGAAATATCTCTTGAAGTCAGTCACTAGTGAGCATATGATTATAGATGAGAGGGGGTTTTGTGGAGAATTTAGTATTTTCACAGTTGAAATCATGAGTCAATTGAAGCTAGACCACCATCGAAAACCTGGAAGCACTGGACGGCCGTTTCGTCCTATTATGGGACTCCTCAGCAGTGCGCATCCACGAACCCACTCTCGTGAGCGACATTCGAACCCAGGACCTACCAGTCTCGAGCCGAAGCCCTTAACCGATAGACCACTGAGCTGGCATCCAACGGTGTTAATGTCTAACTTCAACCAATCCACGATATTGAGCGACCGTTCACCAATTGTCTTCAGTGAGATGATATC